GACGTCACAGACTCCAAAAAATAATCGTAAAAATATCATACTTTCGTCCTGAATATCGAGAAAACACTTCATACAGTGATTATTGGACCTTTAAAGAGTATTCTTAGGAGATTTCAGCTGAATCCAAGTTTGAGCGATTTTCGTCGTAGTAGCACTTTAAGAAAGAAGTTTTGCATTAATGGGTCACTTTTTACATTAAGAACATTAAGAGATGGTTTAAGTTTCCTAATAAAAAGCATTTCAAAGACAAGACAATTAAATTTACTGTCACATTTCCTTAGGACACGAAATTGTTCACGTTATGTAAACGTCGAAACGTCGTCTTTTCACACAAATGTTTTTAAAATATAGTTATTTTAATCGCTGTATTTCCTAGTTAAATGTTTTACAAAGTCGCTACTTATACACATTATCGTATTCTAAAGGTACAAATAGTTGCTAATTTTAGTTCTTTCTTTTTTTTATATATATAAATACGGTATTAATTAATAATTTAATTAGTAAAACGTTAATAAACATTGGAGATGAGGAGGCGAGGAAATAAAAGGTAGAACTTCAAGAAACGGCTTGACTTTTTGCCATGTACTCCAACAAACTTGAGTAAAATGGGATCTAATGAGACTCTATTTATAATAATGATAAAGGAAAGCGGTTTGCTTTATTTGTTTGGTTTAGGTTTTCTTGTTTTGCTGTTTTGCTATTGTTTATATTGTTCAAATAAATCCCTTCAATCCCCTTATTACATCTCCTTAGTTAAGACTTTTTGCTGTTAGACCAGTATGGGGCATTTAGAGTGGTTTTTATAAACCCTACTTCACTCGAGATCTTTTGTTTTCTATTGTGTTTTTCTGACTACTACACTACTTTAATTAGTGCACTTTGTTTTACGGGTTAATAAAAACCGCTCTAAGGCGTCTCCTGCCGGAATTTACTTATTATTTACAAATAAATAAATAAATAACATCTGCTCTATCAAGGAGAAGTGCACTCAGCTTAGTAATATATAGAATCTTATCCGGGCAACATTCAAAATCAGCCAGCTTGACAAAAAATATTTTATGAATACTGCAGTCTACTAAATTAAGTGCCTTTAAAGGTTTAATAAAGTAGCAGCTACGTACTTTCATTTACACTTTCAATTATTTCTGCAACATCTTTTTGAGAATCGTCGTTTTCTGACAGGTTTTTCTCTGTGAAGTAAAGTAATATAAATATAATAAGGTAAAAAATAAAATAAGATACTAAATGATAGTCCAGCCCAGTTCTTTCTTAAGGCAAAGAACGTTCACGAAAAAAGAAAGTTGACTGAAAAGCCCTATTGGGGAACAGACAAAAGGCTAGGCCAGAAACAAAAGGAAACCGAATGTACTAAAATAAAAAAAGAAATTTAAAAAAATCGAAAAACGTTTTGTGTAAATTAGAATGGGGAACAATTATTATGCCTAGAAACTGAAAGAAACGTTTCTTATCATACAATTATCCATAAAATACCTATATATTACTCATTTTCGAAAAACTGATATTTTCACATGTGAAAATAACATGTTATTTTCACATGTGAAAATATCGTTACCATGTGTATTTAAGCTATTAGTTTATGAATAAAAACTTTTTATAACAATAAAAAGCTTATTAAGTTGATTTTATGGATAATTATATAATAAACAGAATATTACATGGGCGATTGGAGATACGAAATTTATCTTCTCGTGTTGAAAATCTCCGCAGTCGTTCGCTGCGCTCACTCGTGAGAAATCTTTTCAACACTCGAAGATAAATTTCGTATCTCCGCGCGCCCATGTAATATCCTCTATTTACTATAATCAAGAAAATGGGAGAAAATTAACATCAAAGCATTAGAGGGAAGTAAGTAAGGCTTGGTGTGGACGTACCGTTGTAAGCTACAGGAACAGAACTGGATAGAGAGACTGCAATGCTGATCAGCAGGATAATATGCTTAAACCGACCCATGGTGGAACCAGGAATAAACTGAAACTTTCTCACAACTATTCACCTTTATATGCAGAAAATTGAGCATCATTACCGTGGGGGGTAATAGCATTACTGGTCCTACAAACGGTAACCATAGTATTTTATCTCAGATATGTAACTTGCGTTAAATCAGAGTTCACGAAATGTTCTCAGTTTTAATTATTCCTTAACATTTTGATACACTAAAATAATGATTACATTGTCGCTTATAGATGAATATATATAAAGTGGTTTTCATAAACCTGTGAAATACATTTTAGCGTATTTAGTACTAATACGCTCTAATTCCTTTGTTCTCTATTGTTTGAATCTGGCTATTACCATCTAATAAGTAACTTTTTTTTTACGAGTTAAATGAAAACCACTCTCGTGACTACTGCCACTGTACTTGCAGTGGTGACTTTTATTTTAGAGGCAGTATTTCTAATGGTAGTCCATTGAATAGGTTTGACTAAATCTCGAAAACAATTTAGGAGCTGTAAAACTTGTAAAAAGGTGTCTAAATTTGTTTAGGGGTGAGGCCTGAAGCGAGGGATTTTTAGTAACCCCTCCCTTACTTATTTTTTTTACATCAGGTTGGTTTTTATCGTTCTTCTCGGTTGAATATATCGCTTAACCGCTGGCCCAATTCCCAAGTGTCTCAAAGCCGGATCGAGGAAGCTTTGAATTCTTCCAGGAAAGATTTTGGGGCTAACGAACTAGTTTGATAATGAATTTATGATAATGAAGTTAACGTTTAAAGATATTACTAAACGAAAAAAAACCAGATAATTCGTGGAAGTTTTCTCTCGCGAAATTTATGTACAGGGTTATTACGGCATTTGGCCGTTTTTATTTTTCAGTTAACGTGATTTGACCATTCTGTTTTTCCAACAAATGTGATTTGCAATCCCCCTTACTAAAAAGTATTTAGGGTTGTACTGCATACTAATACTAATTCATGATCAAAGTTAGAGTTTCCTATTTTCCGTCTTTCATCTACTCATGCTGTTTAGTTGTTATCCTCTAAATAGCTGTTACCATTAAGGGGTCTAAGTTTCTTTAGCTATGCGAGTCAATGTTTGAAGGGGATTAATTAGGATCATAATAAAATTATTGAATGATAAAAACTAATGGAATAGACATAGGGAACTCAGAAAAAAATAGCTGTTATTTACCATTAAGGGGTCTAAGTTTCTTTAGCTATGCGAGTCAATTTTTGAAGGGGATTAATTAGGATCATAGTGAGATTATTGAATGATAAAAACTCAGAAAAAAATAGCTGTTATTTACCATTAAGGGGTCTAAGCTTCTTTAGCTATGCGAGTCAATGTTTGAAGAAGATTTATTAGGATCATAGTGAGATTATTGAATGATAAAAACTAATGGAATAGACATAGGGAACTCAGAAAAAAATCTGAGTCCCAGATGGGAAGCAAACCCACGACCCTCTGTGTGATTACAATAGATTATTTCGAACTTTTCTTTCATTATATTTAAGTCTGTAACACGAACTAGAGCTCAAACTGTTCACAGTTTGATTTTCGACGAAAGTGAATACAAAAGAATTTTAAATGCCTTACAAAAAAAAACCTTTTTTACACGGTGTTCAGTTTCGTTCACATCCACACGTTGTATTTCACACACTCGCTTGTCTGTATGAGGACTGATATGTAGAATTAACGATTGGAGTTATCCATTACTGAAATAATTGCTGAAATAATCCCTGTCGTATCCATGCATGATAATCGAGATATTTATAGTTATTTACCGAAATGAAGCCTTTTCGTGTTATATCTTGATTCAAGGTATACACTTATTTCAATAAAGTTAGTCACCTGAAAAGCTACAAAGCTGAGACCAACAAGGATCATGGGTAGTTACATTTTACATGTTTCAACCGCTTTGATAACTGTTGATGGATTTTAGATCTTTTACCAGTTACAGTCTCACCTCTTCTGAGCATCCTCAAGCTGCAAATTGTATCAAAAGCTTTACTTGTTTGATATTAAAAGCTTCCCATGATCCTCAGTGATCTCAGCTTTCTAGGTTTTTTGGTGACTAACTTTATTGAAACAAGTGTATACGCTTTTAACCCTATATAGACCAATATTAAAGCAAATATGTAGACCACTTGCTCCATCATGATGTACGTTTTCCCATTTTCACCCAAAATATTATGTAGATTTTAAGAAAATAAAGATATAATAGACTACTTGCACTAAGAGGTCACTTGATCAAATCGGCCATTGTGGCTGGCATTCTACTGGATTTTAGCTATGTGAGAATGTTAAAAAAGATGGCGGATTCGGTAGTTTTTAGGGTGACAAAAGGTAAGTTGGCGCACTAAATAACTATGAAAATCCCTTTTTCTTGCAAGAAATATATTCTTAGTAGATATCTAAAGTAGATTTTTGCTATTAACTCGCCAAAAAGAGGAAAAATATGTTATTCTTTGCGCTACAATGTGAAGACCTACGAAGTGTTTAGTCTTGTTTTGCCGGCTTCATGACCTCAAAACAACGACTTCTTGTCGAAACATTTCAAGTATATTTCAACTTCCTTCTTGAAAACTGCATTTTTCTTGCAAGAAATATACTTTTAATAGATATTTTAAGTAGACTTTTGCTATTCATGTGCCAGGAAGAGGAAAAATATTGTATGCTGTGAGGTCATGAAGCCAGAAAAAAACCATACTAAACACTAGGTCTTCACATCGTAGCTCAAAAAATACCATATTCTTTCTCTTTTTGACGAGTTAATAGCACAAATCTACTTTAGACATCTACTAAGAATATATTTCTTGCGAGAAAAGGGGATTTTTATAGTTATTTAGTGCGCTAACTTACCTTTTATCACCAAAAAAAATACCCGATTCTGCCATCTTTTTTTAGATTCTCGCATAGCTAAAATCCTGTAAAATGCCAGCCAAAATGGCCGATTTGATCACGTGACCTCTTAGTGCAAGTCGTCTATTTTCAAAAGTGTGTGATATTGCTTGGAAGGTATGGATAATTACGTGTTTTTCCTTCCACGAAACCAATGAGATATGTTAATGTGCATTCTATATATAGAAAAAGCTAAGAAAAAAGTATAGTGAAGAACAATGTTATATGATGAAAGACTCCGGCTCTGGCTTCAAGCTGAGGTTCAAGTTTATTTTACATGTTGGGGTATTTTAGACACACACAGAGGTTGTATAATATATAATTGTTTAGGAAATGCAATCTTTGAAATGCGATATTAAGTATACCATCTTTAAGCGTTGCTCACTCATTCAATATAATTTTCACTGAGGGCCCACGAAGCCAGAAGAAGAGTAAATTTGGCGACCAGAATCAAAGAAGAAAATTTAGTATTTACTTAGACTCCTGATTAAATGGAGACTAATTAACATGCATGTAATTAATAATTTGTTTATTACACATTTAGAGTCGGAGAAATAATAGATAAATAGATGAACATACTATCGATATGATTTACAAGAACTGTGGCGAAAACTAGCCAATTGAGTGCACTAATTACTAAGGCCCCGTCCACACTATGACGGATAAATTTGAATCCTAATTTTTATTTATTCGGTTAGGCCTACCGTCCACACTAGTCCGGGCGAATCCGGAACAATTCTTCACCGAAAACGATTTTTTTTCGAATACGGTATCCAGAGTGGAACAATTTGAAAACGCCGGCTAGCCGTATTAGTGTGGACAGAGAACATTTCGTCATGGGAACTTGGCGGGAAGACTAAAAATTCACCGCGGGCTCAGTTTCAGCTTCGATGCGCATGCTCAGATGTACAATGAAGCGTTTTTGCCGCCTCTGATCGGACTAGTGTGGACACGAAACATTTTATCCGTTTCGGTTTCGGTGCGAAAGTTGCGGATTCAAATTTATCCGGCTTAGTGTGGACGGGGCCTTAGTATTACTAAAGTTTTACGGTTATATTGTTTGCACTTTTTAATTTAAAAGAATACTAATGTAAACAGACCTGTTTACTGATTCTGCGACCATCTTTAATGGTTGCAGAGAAGGCAAACGTATAAAAACTTAGGGTGCTTTTCATTAATAAGTCAACCTATCCAATGTCGTTTAATCGAAAAGTAGAGTAGTTTATTAAAGCTTCACTTCTTTCCTTTCCTTCGCACCTCCCTCTCCCTATATTCTTTCGTTCGTTCGTTCGTTCGTTCGTTCGTTCGTTCGTTCGTTTGTTCGTTCGTTCGTTCGTTCGTTTGTTCGTTTGTTCGTTCGTTTGTTCGTTCGTTCGTTTGGTCGTTTCCTCTTTCCAAGATTCAGTGCCCTTAAACTCGTCATCGCCAATCACCACCGCAAGTACAGAGCAGCGGCGCAGCTCAACGGGGTCGAACTGAAAGCATGTGAAGGCACCTATGGCTCAGCTCTAACCAGTACGAATTAGTGAGGGTTGATTTGAGAGGAGTGGAGGAAAAACTGGACTACTCAACCTTTATTTCAAAAAGAATCGAATTGAATTGGGCCTTTTACGGTTATCACTCTTTCAAACAAATAATTATTGCCTTACCTTGTACTTGTAGATCATGTTTGGAATATTGATCACAGCTTGATATTGTAAATACTTTGGTTTTCGCGTTAGAGTTGAGACTTCTGATATACACGTTAAGTGATCCCATGCTCGCACCGTACATGTGATAGAAGAAACTCATGCAGCGACCAGAAGATACGGGAGGGAAGACTTTACTGACCAGGGTGGCTGTCTGTTTGGGTAGGGCAGGGTATGATGTTCGAACATAAACATAGTAACCTGTATGTATAGTATATATGTATAGCGTATATCTGTCTGTTTGATGAAACGATATTAATATAATATTGCCGTCAAAAAAAAATTTTTGCAAAGTCCATTTCCCGTCTTGTGCGATTCGTATTCCATCCAATCTTGTTTGAAATGCTTGGCGAGAAAGCCTGTTTACACTGAATACCAATTAGAAGCTACTATTTAAAACAGGTAAAAGAAAGAAAGAAAGAAAGAAAATAGAAAGCAGTATAAAATAAAAGAAAGAACAATTTAATATTGTGAAACAATAAGAA